AGATGGCTTTAGAATGAGCCGTGCTGGAATCTAATCCTGGTTCTACTGCTTACTAGCTACATGGCTTGGGCTATGTCTGCAGCTTCAGCCTCCTCATCTGTAAAGTGGGAATAGTAATACCTACCCTAAGAAGTTGTTAGGGGAATTCAATGAGGTTGTATGTGCTATTTTTGGTAAAGTGCCTTGCTCTGTAGCTCACAGACAGCACATAATCAGTGAACGTTAGTTCCCTCCAACAACTTGCCCTCGCTTCCCTTTTGAAAGAGAATTTCTAGGCCAAGGGATGAGAGGCCAGGCTATGTGAAGACTGGAGTGAGAGAAACTACTGGGCGACTAACCAGTTCTGCTAAAGCTCTGGGCATCCCCAATACATCAACGGTGCCAGTTTTATTTTCAGAGACTATGAAAACAATCTGGTCAATTTCTATCACAATCTTAAAGATAGTTTTCCTTAACCATAAGCAATTTTACTGCCTGGAAAATACACAGCATTGTCACATTTGAAGGTGTTTCAAACTAATAAATGAAGACAAAATGAATAAATGGGTGAGTGGATGCAAAAGTAAAATTTTTAAAGACTGGGGAGAAGCCATTTTCCAAATGTAACCCCACTGTTGCCTTGGCAATTGGGCCCTTGGGTGAGATGCTCTACAAAATTTGTGCTGCTGTTCCCTCCTCCTTCCTAACGTCTATATCCCCAAAACAGCAGTGCTGATACCAGAAGCCAAAAGCAAAGACTGGCAAAATCAGCAAGCGCCCCCATTGTGTGCCGGCCATTTTGGAGCAGATAAAGTCATTAAGGAAAAATTTCACAACGTATAACCTTTCAGCTTTACTCCGTGAACAGCAGGTAGCTTCCCTTTCAGAGACAAGAGCCTGCATTGAAGTCACCAGTGAGCAGGACTTGACCTTCATTTTCAGTATACGCAGCATTAAATATTCATAATCCACGTAACCGTAGCATAAGAAGTAGCAGCGTTTAAACATGAATCAAAGGAATAAATATCTTCACACATGTGAGTCATCCTTTCCCAGAATGCCCCTGGTAAAAATGCAAATACCCAGAGCTCTGGGCCTCTGTCTCTTCCAACTTTCTTTTGAAATTCTGAAAGCAACAGAGACTGCTGCATTATGCAATCCATGAATCTCGCTCTCATGCTGACACTGGTGGGTCTTTGTTTTTTTTCCCTTATCTGTTAGATAAGAATTGCTGTTCTTGTGTCAAAGGGAGGAAATAGACAAGGACGGAACAGCAACGGTGACATTAGCACCCACAGGATGTCTGCAGGCACTCTTGACTTGGTTGTACAATTTCTAAAAAATCTTTGCTTCACAAGGATCAGAATGTGTGGGAGGACAGGGTCGGCGTAGGTGGCAGGAGACATCAGAATTAGGAGCTAAAGTGACATGTGACATAAATTGGGCAGGAGTCCTTTTAAAAAGAATGAAAAAGAAAGGGAGCTTTTTGTACACAATCCACCTTGTATGGCTAATTGGAGCTTTGGGGAGATGGTGTGTGGAGGGCTCAATGCTTGTCTGTGCTTGTTAAGGCACTAACGTGATGTCTGACCGAAGACTTGGTCCAGAGACATCTTCGTCTGCTTGGGTGTTTCTAGAGAGTCTACTGCTGGGATTATAAAGCACAATTTTAATAAGGTTTAATGTAATTATCTTTGTTTTCAATTCCAGGAGCTCTGAGGACAATCTGTCTTAGCTAGATAGTAATCACTTGAGGCTACACAAATGAGTCTTCCCTCACAATCACTCTAGGATCATTAAGACCAGACCCAAAGAAAATGCCCTATGCTGGCATCTGTCTTTGCCTAATGGCCAAAAATGAAAGTTGTGCAGCTGTCTTTGGAAGTGACTTATCCATCACCTCTGGATAGTAAAAAGAGCTTTGAAAGGTTAAAAAGATCATAAACCCACCAATGATGACATTTCTCTGAGCTGTATTACTCATCTGCTAATGCACAGAAGTAAAATAACCACCTAGCCTGCTTGTCCACTTGCACACCTGGAGCTGACCTGCCTTGAGACATAGCTGGTCCAGCAGACCACGGGAGCCTGTTTTATACATTAATCGGCATTCCTCGCACTTTTCAAAGGGCTGGGTGCAGAGAGCCTGGAATCTTAGAGAGCCTGGAATCTCAAACTTGTGCTACAGGACAGTCCTCAGCATTCTGTAGGAGAGGGGCAGCTCTGGCTAAAATTCACCGAGACAAGCCATTTCACTCACGTCTGTTGGTTTAGATTCACTTGTGGGAAAGCCTATAGACCATCCCCTAGTTTATTTATCTGAAGGGTGTAAATACTAACTACAATTCATCTGGAGAATTCTGGGTGCTTTTTTTCCAGGGTGAAGATTTAATATAACTTCCACGAGAAGTTTAAAGCTGTCTTTCCAAAATATCCAGATGGCCAGCCAAACCACGAATGTGTAAAACTGGTAACAGTTTTGAATGAAAGGCATGGATTTTAAGAATGTACATTCTACTTTCTCACTTTATTTCCATTTGCATCCTATATGTGGATAGAATTTCATTTTTTTTCTCATTCACTAAGCTCGATTATAGTTTTTTAATAGGTTTCACTGTGTTTTATTCTTGGAAATCTATGGACTTATCATAGAGATGGCTTTAGAGATTCTACACTAATTCTCCCCCAAACTTAAACTGAGCTTGCTTGCTGTCTTTCCCAAGGAAGATGGAAAACTCCCTTGTGCTGAATCCACTGATTCGGCCTGCCACCGGACAGAATCTTCAAATATGGTCTCAGAACCAAATGAAGTCATGAAAATGAAAAGTTTCTATATAAATAACCAGAAAGTCTTCTTATAAACAAAGCCTTGCTATGCCAAACCACATAGTTTAGCAACAGAGATGCCGGGATGAGGCTAGGACAGTCCTCAGGCAGAATGGGAATAGCCTTGTTTCTAACCTTATCGGCATTTTTGCCAGGAAAAGGTGAGGACAGGACTGAAGTTCCATCCTTGGGACAGACTATTTGCAAGTTCATAAAAGAAACCGGAATCAGACAGGCCTCCCAGTGCTGTCTTCCCCAAGGCCTAGAAGGATCATAATTAAAGCCAAAGGACATTGAGATGGTGTAGGACATTAGGGGAAGAGGGTATGCATTGGGGAATTTCATTCCTCTTCATCTTCTCACATGGAAATGGAGAACACCAGGATCCACAGAACAAAAGACTGCCTCACAGTAGACTGTAAAAAAAGACACAATCCAAATCCATCTAAAGAGCATTTTATTTCTGAAAAATACAGAGGGACAAAAGGTTAAAAAAAAAAAAAACGAAAAGGGAAGGAAGGTGCTGGCTGAGGCATCTGGGCCTCTAACCCATCAACACACTCACCTCCACATTAGGGTTTTCTCTCTCTGGGGCACACAAGCTACAAGCCCAAACCTCTTTCCTGAGTCTCAGCATGGAAGTTGGCAGGGTCTACACCCCACGACACGTGAGAACACCCCTGGAGAGAGATTGGAGAAATAAGACCAGGGGCTTTAGAGGATCTTCAGTTCAATACAAATAGGGTCCAGAATCATTAAGAGTAAATATTAAAAAGGGGGCTTACCTTCAATGACATGCCAATGGGAGTCTTCCAAACTTAAACAAGCTCTTCTCCTTCTTGGCTCGGGAGAGTTGATGGAGGGAGCATGTGGAATCTTGTCTCCCGACAGCATTGAAAGGACTCTCCATCTGAGATGGGTGAGGGCAGCCCAGCCTCGCACATGGGGATGGGCTGAAGGCCCTCTGATAGGCTTAGACTTGGCTGATTCCCAGAGACAGGTTATTAAAGGAGATATTTTCTTTATTTTCCCTGACTGACATTTTGGCCTCTGCACCCAAATGCACAAAATCCTTGGCCGGCGACCAGATGGCTCTGAGAAATTCTGAGTTTAGCTGTGCATGAAATTACCACCATCCCAAGCCACAGGAAAGGAGCACTAAGCTCAGAATTCAGGCACATCAGAGTCTGAGCCAACAGGCACACCAGGGAGGTTTCCTAGTATCAAAGTCTAGTAGCCAACCATACCAGAGATAGAGTTAAAGTTCAAAACACTCACACAGTGGACAATAAGGGCAACAAGCTCAAGGCCACTGTCACCAGAGTGGCCAAGTTCACGCCACAACAGAAAATGAGTTAGACTCCAGCTCGTTTCCCTGATGCTGTCAACTTCATGATTGCAATGGTATAGGTGGAACAAATTATTTCCTCAGGATTGGCACCTGCAGGAATCAGGGCAGAACTGGCTGCAACGTTGCAGTTCTAGTCTGTGCCCTCTTCATCCTTCTGCAAGGTCTTTATCGTCTGTCACCCAGGCTCACCCTGGAGCACCAGTCCATTCAGCTGGCACCCAAGGAGTCTGCATGAGTGTCTACTCTAGACGTCCTCAAATGGTCACGGGCCTCCACCTCTGGGGGTCATCATGAACTCCTCCATCCATCTCCTTACCTTCACAAGTCAAGAAGCACCAGCATGCAATGCTTCAGCTGAATACCCGGTTGGCAGGTGAAAGGATAGCACCATGATTTCTAAGCTGACCTCCAGTAAGATCAAAGCATTGGAAACCCAACTGAGAAAAGGATCCTACAACCATGGCAAAAATGGCTCAGACCCTCATCTGTGGGAAACTGTCACCCTCCCAGAAGTTGCAAATTCCCATCAAGTCATCTTACCCACTTGACATCTTCAATGCAAATACATCATCAAGAAACAGCTCTTTAAAAATAAGTAATACCCAGCAAGAAGACTCGACCTCAGATACCTCACCCTCCTATGCCAGCATACTTAAAGTAGCCTTCCTTCTCAGAACTTTCTTTCCCGTTTAGAAAATCAGCACAGTGTAGCCCTAGCTTCCTCCAAAATCTTCTGCACTTAGAAGGTCTGGCAAAGGTTGGTGTTAAGGTAAATAAATGGATCAACATAAAGGCTTATGATTTTTTATGAAACAAGGGCAAGAAAGTATATTTGAATACTCACTTTGACGAATCTATGAAGTATATTACAAGTGCACCGATGCTGAGAGCAAAGACTAAGACAACCTGCAAAAGAAGAGGAAAATGCCATCACTTCAGAGTTGGACCTCAGGATGTTTGGGTTTTTTGACACATGCAGAAGCAGCTTTGAAATATGGTGCCCATTGCTCTTGGTGACCTGCTTGGAAATCTCACCCCCATCCCCAGCCCCCCATTACTGCCTCACGGTTGGCTCCTCATATGGCAATGAGCAGCAACCTCGCTCCTTGCCAATAGGGGTCAGGGTAGCCTTTTATATCTCAGGGCACTGGGTTTTTATCTGGCCCTGTTATCTCAAAGTTCAGCTTCTATGCAATTGAAGTTGATAAACTTCAGTGGGAAAAGAGCAGGTGAAAATTTAAGGTGACACAATTTTTCATATTATATGTAGTCTAGGATCTGCAGGAACTCCAATAGAGGAATGTCAACTTTAACAGCTTCATTGAGGCATAATTTACATACCACAATATTCGCCCATTTAAAAAGTACAATTCATCAATGACTTTAGTAAATCTACTAAGTTATGCAACCATCACTGTAATCCAGTTTCAGAACACTTTCATTATCCCAGGAAGATCCCTCATGCCTGTTAAATCAATCCCCTTTCCCATCGCCGAGCCCCAGACCACATTAATCTACTTTCTGTTTCTACACAAGAGATACCAATTTGAAGAGCACAAATTTGCTCGTACAAATGTCCACGTGTGTATGTGTGTACATACATAAAGATATATTCACTGCATGTATGATCTATATGATTATAACACTTCTGAAATACTTAGGAAAACAGTTTAGGTTCAGGAAGTCAATTAGGCCATCCATTAGGCCAGTTATGTGACAATTCTTGTCCTACTTTACACTTTTCACTCAAAATTAATCTCCATGGATGGAAGACAGTTTTGGCATCTCCTTCAGTGGATACCTGTCATGCTAAGGTCCATCGAATGAATATGTAGCAGATTAGGCTGACACCGACACTTCTGTCCTCACTACACATCCTACTTTCTTTAATCTTTCACAGAGGAGACTATTAATGCAAATAAAGCATAGTGAGAAATAAAGAAGATGCTTTCAGCCAACAATTAAGCCTGAGAACAAAAAGTAAGCACCACCATTACACACAATGCCTGGCTGCTAGGTCAACCTTTCAGGTATGCTAATACTCTGAAGAGACTGCAGGTTGAAGAGCATTGGAAGTCAGTCTCCTCAGTGTCCACCTATTGACATCTCTCAGGCCTTGGCTGGTGGGTAGAGAGGAATCCCAATTTATGTAAAGACTAAGTATGATCAAGCTGTGTGTGTGTGTTTGTGCCTGTGTATGAGAGACAGAATCTATCTCTCTTACACACACACACACGCACACACACACACACCTGTATTTTGTATGTGTGCCAGAGCGGCTGACAGAAAATGAAGTCTGCATGAGACACTCATTTAAAGCATTGCAAAACTCCATGGAGCTCCTGGGGCAGAATGGTGGCTTGCACAGTCCAGAAAATGACCATTAAAAACAAATGGACACTGTAAAATGAATATGCAGTTTCATAGCAACTGATAAAATCTCCATATAAAGGGAGGTGCTAAAACAATACACCACTGAGGTTTATTTCATTCGGCCATTTTTTTAAAAAAACTAAAACATGCTCCAATTGAATGCTGCAGTCTATCAGTAATTATCATCTGCCCAGCACTAATCCCTCTTAGCTGCCTCACCTCAGCCCCTCCCTTCACACACATTCATTCATATGTTCCTTTCAAAGGTACACACAAAAACAAGCAAACAAAAACATGAGCAGGCCTCCGATTTTTCCTCTATTATCTAAAGAAGGCAGCAAAACAAAGAGCTTAAGATTAATTTTGATCTGTGCTGCTATTTCTGAGGCATAAGCAGTTAGATCCTGGCCCTGACCTCATTCTCAAAAAGCTGCAAAGAGAAGGGGTGTGGCCAGAACCCAGGAGAAGGGCCTCTTCTCCATTCATAAACAGCTGATTTAAGACTAATCCCTGTCCATTTGGCTCCCTATGTGTGTATCTGTGAATGCTGAGCATCTGTCAGAGCTGGCTATATAGGCCTAGGCCACCCAAAGCCACTGTTGCAGAAAAGGATAGGAAACAAGTCCTTGCAAATGGCCTCTACATCATTCTGTAAGGAACTCGAAATCTAAGACCCCTGCAATGGCAATGTTGTCACAGCATCCAGATGTCCAACATAGCTGATACTAACTTGCTCCAGCTGCCTCCACTTGCAGTCGGTGATGGGGACTAATGCGTTCCTTATTTAAGCAAACAAGCCAGTGACAGGAGGAAGGCAGGAATCTTGCTGCCCTCTGAAGATGAAAACTCAAATATCAGCATCTCTCTGATAGAGTAAGAGGGGGAAGAAATCCAGGAGGGAAATGAACTCCACAGCTCCCTGGCCCTGAAGATTCTGTTGAATGGATATGCGCTTGGGTCCACGTGTTCAGCTGGAAAGCCTCCTCGCAGTGAGATACAGGATAGGCAAAATGCCCCAAGATGTACCATAAAATGCTCCCTGGGGAGATGCTGTGCTTCCCAGTATTAAGGTAACTGTGCATGTAGTCTTGAAACTTGCTAAATGCCTCTTTATCATGTCAGGCTCGATCACATTGTCAGCCCAGATCCAGGTGCTGCAGAAAACACATCAACACTTTGGATGTGGCCATGAAAATAGAATCCCCATCAGAGACTTGTCTTCTCTAGGCCCCTAGCAAAGCCACCTTAGAAGTGTCAGTTTAGTCTCTCTTTCTCTATCTGTCTAACAAATCCCCATTGTCTGAGAACTCCAAGTTTGAAAACACAAAATGATTACATTTTAGTGTACATGGTAATGGTAATATTATAAAGCACCCCAAACAGTCATCTAAGTATTTAAGATATGCTATACATAAGGCCCAAGAATAACAGAAGATGGAAGGCCACTTGGAGTCATGAAATATACTCTTTCCTTTTTAGACAGAGTCTCGTTCTGTCGCCCAGGCTGGAGTGCAGTGGCGCAATCTCAATTCACTGCAACCTCTGCCTCCCAGGTTCAAGCAATTATCTTGCCTCAGCACCTCCCGAGCAGCTGGGACTACAGGCGCCTGCCACCATACCCAGCTAATTTTTTTGTATTTTTAGTAGAGAGGGGGTTTCACCATGTTGGCCAGGCTGGTCTCAAACTCCTGACCTCAAGTGAGCCACCTGCCTCGGCTTCCCCAAGTGCTGGGATTACAGGCATGAGCCACTGCACCTGGCAAAATATACTCTTTTTTATAGAGTCGTTCTTACATAGATTAATCCCATGCTATTATGTAATTAGTGATAAATCATATAATACAGGTTTAGCCAATACAAAATGAACTATTGTCTAGATGGATCATTAGTAACTGGGTAAGGATAGGAAAAGTAGGGCTCTTATCTCAATATCCTCTCCCCAAATGTCCTTCTTTCTACATAGTAACACTACTCTAATATCTCTTCATGAAGGAGTGGGGCCATTGGGAATCCTTCTGCGAGCTTCTATAGTTTCAGGGACAAGGAGGACAGAAGCCCAAGGGACATGGTAAAATGAGGCCAAGGAAAGCACAGTACCCCAGAAAGCAAAGCATCCCTGCCCTACAGCAGCTAAGTCATAGAATAAGAAATAACCAAACATATAACAAAGCATTGTCCCACAGAAGGGCTTGGGGGCAGCAGTCTGATACACAGATAATTTGAGCATTGCCTCTCAGGGTACTTCTGCTAACTTGCTTGAGAGCCTGTCCTGCTTGCTAAACGTGCCATAGTCTGAGCTCAACAAATCACCTCAGCCACCTTGGACAGTATGAATTGTCACCTTCTCAGACTTACTGAAAACACCCATATGCTGTGTGGTGATGTTGAGTACTTAGTGTGCCAGATTCCTAAAAACAAAAGCAACTTGATAAATGTCACTGAAACAATGGTGCTTTGAGTCATCTATTTTCAAAACTCCAAGATCAAACAAGACATGTGTTTGCACAAAAGAATGCCAGGAACACACACACACAGTGTATTTTTTTTTTTTTTTAAGGGCAGGGTGCAGTGGCTCATGCTTGTAATTCCAGCACTTTGGGAGGTCATGGCAAGTGGATCACTTGAGGCCAGGAGTTCTAGACCAGCCTAGCCAACACAGTGAAACCCTGGCTTTACCAAAAAATACAAAAAATTAGCATTTGTGGTGGTGCTCACCTGTAGTTCCAGCTACTTGGGAAGTTGAAGCAGGAGAGAATCACCTGAACCCTGGAGGCAGAGGTTGCAGTGAGCCAGGAGTGTGCCACTGCACTCCAGCCTGGACAACAGAGTGAGACTCTGTCTCCAAAAAAAAAAAAAAAAAAGTGGGCCGGGCGGGGTGGCTCACACCTGTAATCGCAGCACTTTGGGAGGCCGAGGTGGGGAGATCACGAGGTCAGGAGTTTGAGACCAGCCTGGCCAACATGGTGAAACCCCGTCTCTACTAAAAGTATAAAAAGTTAGCCAGGCATGGTGGTGCTTGCCTGTATTCCCAGCTACTCAGGAGCCTGAGGCAGAAGAATCTCTTGAACCTGGGAGGCAGAGGTTGCAGTTAGCCGAGATTGTGCCACTGCACTCCAGCCTGGGCAACAGAGCAAGACTCTCTCCAAAAAAAAAAAGTCTGTCCCTAACACCTGATGCAAAGAAGAAGCCTAGTGCAAAATGGGGAGGAGAGAGGGGAAGTCCACAGCCATCTCACTAGATGAAAATCTCTGCGGGCCATGAAGATCTTTCAAATGACTGACAAAGTTTATGAAAATTCATGAAAATGGAAAATAGTAAAGCCAAGCATAGACTATTCCCCCTCAGGTGATGGAGCACTTCAGGAAAAAGGCAGATTCAGTGATGTGAGTATAGAGGTGATTGAGTCAGGAAAGCTGGCTCTTAGAGACGTTTCCTGTTCTAGAACCTGGGCTGGAGTTGCTGCGATTAGGTCCATATGCTTTCAGCGGGTGTGTGAGGCATCATGGCCTTGGGAGGCAGATTCAGAGCCGAGG